GCCTGCCTGATCACCCCTAACCCCTCTGCCTGCCTGATTGCCCTTAACTGCTCCCCTACCAGCCTGATCGCCCCTAACTGCTCCCCTGCTGGCCTGATTGCCCCTAACTGCTTCTGCCTCACCCCGCACCCAGGACCCAGGATTCCCTCCTCCGGCCGGTCTCAGGCACCCAGGACCTGGACTTCCTTCCCTCTGGCCAGCCACAGGCACCCAGGACCCAGGCCGGCCACAGCTGCAGGGGATCATGGGCGGGTGGATTTGCCCGGGCCGTAGCTGCAGGTGTCCAGGACCTTGGGGTGGGTGGATTGTCCCTCTCCTGGGCCGCAGCCCCAGCCACTGGCGCCTGGGACCACAGGACGGGTGGCTTGTCCCTCTCCTGGGCTGCAGGTGCAGGTGCAGCCGCTGGCACCCGGGATCTCAGGGCGGGCAGCTTGTCCCTCTCCCAGGCTGCAGCCTGGCTGGTCCCCATTCCTCTCTCATGAGCTCATTTGTGCCTGGCTGGTCCCATTCATTTCTCCCCAGTGTTGAGTGTCTGAGCCGTTATGGCATGAAGGTGTGAGGGTGTGATGACTATTTGCATATTAGCTCTTTATTATATAGGATTGGTTGCTCCTTTTATGTGTCCTGATCAGAGATTGAACCTGAAATCTTGGTGTATTGGGGTGATGCTCTAAACAACTGAGCTACCCAGCCAGGGCCTCATCTCTTATTTTTTTCTTTTAAATATATTTTTATTTATTTCAGAGAGGAAGAAAGAGGAAGAGATAGAAACATCAATGATGAGAGAATCGTTGATCAGCTGCCTCCTACACGCCCCCTACTGGGGATCAAGCCAGCAACCTGGGCATGTGCCCTTGACCAGAATTGAACCTGGGACCCTTCAGTCTGCAGGGCAAGGCTCTATCGACTGAGCCAGATCGGCTAGGGCATCTTCTTTTATTTCTTAACAGCCTTTTTTCTCCCTGTGATATCCCCCCCGACACACACACATACACAGTCCACACCTAAGCTCTGCCCTCAGCCCCCACCAAGTACAGATTCTTGGTAAGTACTGTACATGTTGACACAATTTAGAAAGGCAGAGGGTGTTTCCTACATCCCCTGAGTCTGTGGAAATCTCTTTCTTAGAGCTGCTTATAAAATCCAAGCAATTGGGAAACACTTACGAATTTATTCTCCTGAGATTTACACAGATTTATAAAAATAATCTGGTGCTCTGGAAAACTCTTTTATATGAAAACCAAAGGCCTAGTTTTGTTAATCAAAATTTCTTAAATTTAAGTCTCCCTATATGTTGAATGGGGACACAATGATGTCTAGAAAAATGTTTGAAATGGGTGAAAGGCCATATAAATAAAGGTTCCAGTATAATCATCAACAAAGCTAATAAAATACGATGGTATCAAGAGTGCTGGGCCCAGAAGTAAAATATCTGATATCAAGTGAATGAGGCCTCAGCTAAACAAATCCTAAAGAATGTTCACTGAGCCATGTATGCAGAATAGCTACAGGAAGAAAGATGGCAAAAGTGGCAGCTTGTGTTTCTTTACCCCTCTTACAAGAAACTACTTCTCTTAAATGTAAATTAAAATCTCATGTCAAGTAATAAATGAAATATCAGGCTTTAAAAGTTATCTTTTTGCCCTAGTCAGTTTGCTTAGTGGATAGAGTGTTGGCCTGCAGACCCAAAGGGTCCTAGGTCCATTCCAGCCAAGGGCACATACCCTTGGTTGCAGGCTCCTCCCTGGCCCTGGTCAGGGTGCATGCAGGAGGCAACCAATGGATGTGTTTCTCTCACATCGATATTTCTCTCTGTCTTTTCCTCTCTCTTCCACTCTCCCTAAAAATCAATGGGAAAATATACTCAGGTAAGGATTAACAAAAATAATAATTTTTTAAAAAAGGTTAACATGGTAAATTTTTTAAAAAAGAAAGATTTAAAAAAACAAGTTATCTTTTTGGCCATCAAATTGGAAAAACAACTAAGATATTACTAATTCCTTTGGTAGACAGGATAGACGAGTGCTCTGGAAAACACCTCAAACACTGCAGGTGGAGCTGTACATTAGTGTAGCATTCTGGGGGCAATTCATGACTTTCAGGAATCTTAAAACTATGCACGCACATCCATTCCACTTCTAAGAATTTCTATGTGGGAAATAGGATGTGAATAAAAAAAGTAGCTCACCATAGTATTACTTAAAGTAGAAAGTGCTTAAAGTACAGAAATTAAGAAGTTAAGAATGTGGTATCTGGATCATTGAGCTAAGATATTCAAATTCTGGCTTTGTTGCTTCTCACTGAGATACTGTACATATTACTTTTCAATTTCCACGTTTGTAAAATAATGTTGATTATAATAGAACCTGTTTCATGAGGTGGCTGTGAATATTTAACAAATACATCTAAGGCACTTAAAGAGGGCATATTAAAAGTACTCACAATGTTAGGTTATGTTTATTATAATAAAAAAATAGAAATAACGTATATTCTAATAAATTGTTTCATCCTAGCAATGTAGTGCCATATATCAATTAAAATGTTGTAGCTGAATATTTGACTTGAAAAAATGTTTCTTATATTAAAAGGGAGACACAGATTATAAAATAGTATTTACTGTTATTGAATTCAAACAGATGTAGTGTACATGAACTTGTTTTGAATTCAAATCTATTTCTCTTTCCAAAAATTTAATTGTAGTTCAAAAGAGCAAAAATCAAATAGTGTTCATTTCAATTCCTTTATCTGCTGGGGTGGGGGTCATTGAGAATTTTTCCTGAGCTAATTAATATACTTTTGGTACTTAGTGAATTGCAATTCAAATGACTCCTGTTCTAAATAATAAAATAGAAGTATCTCTTGAACTAACAGGTGAAGTCCCCCATGCCCTAACAAAGTCCCAAGATCCTCTCTAGTCTCATAATGCCACTACAGTAATTACATTCCTCATTTACAAGTCAAGAAATACTACTGCTATCAGCTTTCAAATGCCTGTAACAATTTTTAAAAGCATGAACTATGATTCTAACAAAGTTTATTACGAGATATTCAAAACAGATGTACTTATGAAAAAGTACTGTGGACTTTGAAGAATGATATTTGCATAATGTAAAATTACTGCTAAATGTTAATGCCACCTACTAACAAGAATCACTTATAGGTACTGACTTAGTGTAACTTCAGTTTCAATCTCTAAATTGGTGATTCAATTGATTTGCATAGTTAAAACGTTATTTTTACCATCTTTCAGCTCATGAATCTCTGAATGCCTAAGAGAGTGGTCGGCAAACTGCGGCTTGCGAGCCACATGCGGCTCTTTGGCCCCTTGAGTGTGGCCACAAAGTTTCAATCACACTGTACATGCGCGCCCGCACGTGGTATTTTGTGAAAGAGCCACACTCAAGGGGCCGCAGTCTGCCAACCACTGGCCTAAGAGATAACTACTTGTTACCCAGGTCTTTGCTAGTCCAGCAAAAGTCTACCTCCAATCCTCACAAAAGGTGCTTGAGCACCCCCAATTTTAAGCAAATAAATACCGTTGCCTGCATGCTTACTAGTACATTGAGTATTACTAATATGAACATACTTCAATTCTTTCCTAATTTAAAGTTATAAAATGAGGACCTGTGACTGCCACCAATAAGAATGAAAATACAACCATATGTTTGCATCACATATAATTTTTTTAGTACTTTCATACATATCTCATTATTAATATTAATGACTTTAGATGCAGGGTAAAAAATCTGATACATTTTGACAGCTTTGAACCTCTCTGTTATGGAAGATTTACCTCAACTTTGGGCATTCATCTTTGGGAGTGAAAAGGGTAGTGATGTGGTTTGTAAAAACTCTCTGAACAGGCAGAGGGTGGTGAGCACAGAAAAAAAAGACAAAAGAGAGAGGAACTAACATTCGCAATCAAGCGCCTCCGGAGCTAAATGATGCCAATCAGATCCAGCTGGGAAATGCTATGAGCTGCTCACAGTGCAGAGCTTGGCTGGACTACAAGCGCTTTCCTCGACATCTGGTAAAGGTAAAGCTGACCTCACCACTTCATGCCTGGGACAGGTAGACTAAAACCCAAGGAGATTAGCGTCAATTTCACAAGATTAGATACAGTGACTATTGACTATGCTCTTTGTTTTTGGCCAAATGGATTCTAACTGGTGTAGCAGTTTAAAACAAAACAAAACACTTCTTTTCCTGCTTTCTCCCTTGGTGAAGTGTAGGTTTGTTGCTTCCGGGTTGAGGCAGATAGTAAGTTACCTCCACAGGGTCGCATTCTGGTTGCATTTATGATTACCAGAATAGAATTACAAATACTCCATTATTACTTCCAGTCCTCAACCAGATGTAAATCTGCTAAGTTAAATAAAGACTTAAAAACTTATGATACTTAAGATTTTTTTCTCGTTACCTTTTTATTTGTCCTGACTGGTATATGAAAGAGAAGAAGTGGGTACTGATTAAGTTCTTTAAATCCAAAAATGCGTGAGAGTGGCACTACTTACTTTTGTAATTCCAAGACAAGCGTCCACTGCTACCTAGGATAAAGTCCTGAGGTTCAGGTTTCAGCTCAGAAACATAACCGCTAGAGTGTTCATAGGAAGAAAAAGTAGAGTTTCTGCCCGAGAAACGTTGCTCAGAAACTCCAAAGCCTTCTAGGCCTCCTTTCTCAGCCCCGAAGACATACATTCTTATGGCGCATTTCTCATTTCTGACGGGGATGCCCCAGAAGACCGTTTTGAAAAGCGCTCTGCCTTTTCTTCCACATTAATTTTACGAGCGAGTCCAAAAGAGACCATCTGCCAAATTAGATGTTTTCATGTGTTCTTTTGTTGAATAAGTGTAATCATCAACAAATAAGCTGCCTATTAAAATGTACTCACAACGCAGCTCAAAACAAAATGAACTGTTAAAATAAAAGTTGTTATATCTGAAAGACATTAGGGTCAACTTACTGTGGAAAACACACACAAAAAGGACAAATTGGTTGGAACTTTCACAATAATGGAAAATATTTAATAAACTTAGAATGGTGGGCTTATTAAACCATACTGTTATTTACAGCCGTAATTCATCAACCACAAACACAAGAACGTGTCTGCGTGGCATGCTACAACAGAAGCTTTATTCAGTTCATTCTGAAAATGGTGGCAAAGGAAATTTCAGTTGCAAATTCACAGATACAAGCCTCAAAGTATAAAGTTGTATGTACCAAAAAAAATACAGGTAATATTTATAACAATAACTTACAGATACAAACTAATGATAAACTACAATTTCACAAAGAATTGTAAACATTTTGCACACTTGTCAGTCCTTTCTTTTAGGCAAAGTGCTCTTTTGATGACAAATAAATTAACAGATACACACTAGAGTGAACTATTTCCAGACAATACAAAAAAAAGTTTTGACTTGTTTTCTTCTTGTAAACATAAGTTTTACAAAAAAAAAAAAAAGAAAAAGAAAAAAAATCAATAAAAGTGTCTTGCAGGCCAACTGTAGATACATACCTGGGCAGCAAAGTGATGTTGGAAATGCTTTAGGTGTTAAATAAAAAATTAACATTAATCTTTTCAATGGTATTTTATACATAATAAATGACAAGTTTATATCCTTAATCATTTCTATCCCTGAAAAAGAAATTAGGTATGACTTATTGGCAGTTGTGTCATTGAATGGGGTAACAAGGGCTGGAGTCCAAGAGTTGTTGGTGAATGAGCTACAAAATAGAAAGAAATTTGTGGATCAGTTTTGTAGGGTGAATGAAACTGATTTAAAACAAACAAAAACAAGCCAAGGCAATGTGCTTTCATTACTCATTACAGCTGAGGGCACCAAGCTACACTCATTCCACTGACCTCAGCAGAAGCATTACCTTATTCAGCATCATGAGTATATTATTAAATGAGAATCTAGGATGGGTTTACCCCCAAATCTTTATTTTGGGCAACAAGATTTTGCCACTTTACTGTCCTCCATCCATACCCCATTCACTGCACTTTACCCTTCAGCTAGAAAGACTCATGAGCTTTGTCGGCAGAGATGTTGTCAGATTTCATATTGAAAGTGTGTTTATAGGATGACTCCCCCCACCCCCCAACCAAATTCTCATTTATGAATGTCTAACTGCCTCTTCCCTAAACATATATCAAAATACATTTGACTCAGTCAACACAAGTCTTTCAAGTCAACACACCCAATTTTAATGCTAATGTAAGTAAATGATTACAATGACATAGGCTCTGATTTTTTATTTAACTGAAACTTAAAATGAAGATTCCACTCTCAGCAATGGCTGCATTGCTTCAAACACAACCTCCCTCTGAGAGCAACTAGGAAGCTAGACAACACTCTTTAAAATGTGTCTTAAGGCATATTAAAGAGACCAAGGCAGTCAACTCCCAGAGGAGAGAAACAAAATGAGACTATTTTTCCCCAAGTTAGTGACAATTTGAAAATACGTGTCTGAGAAGTTTAGCAGAGTATTCAGGAGTTAGACTTAGGCTGGATAGTGGAAAACAAATATGAAAGATCAGGGTCCACTGAAGAGAAGCCCTAGTTAAAAACAGCAGAAACAAAATAAAACAAAACACAGGTTTTGTTGCAGATCTCAACAAGCTAAATCCAACTTGTAGCAACCCAGAAACACACCATCCCTTCTGAGGATTGATGCCGGATTGGATTAAGTTGCTCTTCCCCTAGCCTACCTTCCTGCCAAAGGCAAAACTAAATACTCTCTGGTGGAAGATATTACCCAGAGCCTCAAATTATTTCTAGTTTTTCATACCCAACATCTGAAGTGCAATAAAAAAAAATAACAAGACAAATAAGAAGACATGGCTTTGGCTTACAAAAAAAAAAAAAAAGAAAAAAAAGAAGAAGACATGGCTTGGTTGAAAACAAAGAGGAAAAAACAACAATAATAGAACAGACCCACAAAAATCCTGATATTGGAGTTATCAGACATGGACGTTAATATAACTAAAGTTAATATAACAATAACTTTATTATGGAACAAAATGACAAAATAGATTATTTCAGCATAGAAGCTGGAACTGTATAAAACAATGAAATGGAAATTCTAAAACTGAAGTTACAATAACTAAAATTAAGAACTCAATGGATGAGTTTTATATATTAGATAGAGTGTGAATTAGTGAACCGGAAAATAGAAGGAAATAACCAGATTGAAGCATGGAAGATCAAAAGGCTGGAAAATATAAAATTTTTCCATAAGGGCTGAAACAATATTTGAAGAGACAAAAGCTGAGACTTCTTCATAATGAAATACTTGAATGACATACTCAAGTAGCATATCTAGGCACATATTAATAAAACTGAAAACCAGAGAGAAAACGCTGAGAAAAAAGACATTTACTTTCAAAGGAACATTAATAAGACCAACAGTAAGTATCAAGTTAATTAACCATCCATATTCTACACAAGAGAGACAATGGAAGCCAGAAAACAATGTTATCATATCATCATCGTGCTGAAAAAAAGATATCTGCCAACCTAGATTTCTACATACAGAGGAAATACCCGTTATAACTGCATCAAAACAAATACTTAGGAATAAACCTAACAAAAGATGTATAAGATTACTAAACAGTAAAGTCTAAAATATAAGAGAGCATTTGAAGATGACCTAAATAAATTGACAAACTAAGTTCATGATATGAAAGACAATATTACCAAGGTGGTAGTTTCCTATGATGGATTGTTTCAAAATATGAACTTTTTTCCTTTTTTTGGGGGGGGGCAGGTAGAAATTGATAAGCTGGAAAAACTTATGGAAATGCAAAGGGTCAAGAATATGCAACACAAACTTGAATAACAATGAAATAGGAAGACTTGTTCGATTGCATATCATGAATGATAAGCCTAGCATAAGTGAAACAATTAGGTACTAATATAAAAATAAGTACACCAATAAAACTGACACATACATTATATGGACACTTAATTTATATCAAATGTGCTGCTACAAAGCAGCTGGGAAATTATTATTTTCATCAATATAACAATAATCTTTGCTCCCAATCTCACACCACATACAAAATTCAATTCCAGATGTCAAAATAAAATAAAGTTTCTAGAAGACAATGCTGGTGGAATATCATCATTATCTTTGAGTAAGCACAAGTTCTTGAATAAGTCACCAAAAAAGCACGGCCCACGGAGGAAAAAACTGATGAAATGAACTACATTAATATTAGGAACTGTGCTCAACTGAACATACCTCAATAGAGTAGAAAAAGGCAAGCCACTGAACAGGAGGAGGTATTTGCAACACATATAATCATTAAAAAAAACTTTGTATGCAGAATATAGCAAGAATAAAAACAAATCAAGGTAAAAAGACAAGCTAATAGATCAATAGGCAAATGATATAAATAGGTTCTTCACAGGAAAATATATATAGATGCCCAATCTCATCAGTCACTGAGGAAAAGCAAATTAAAATAATGAGATAGCACTGCACAACCACCAAATAGACTAAGATTAAGAAGTCACACCATATGAAGTGTTAGTGAGGATGTGGAGTACCTTGAACTCTCATATGCTGCTGGCCCAAGTGTAAACTGCTCCAACCACTACGGGAACTGTTAGGCAGAATTAACTAAATTTGAATATATGTATAGCTTATGACCCTATGTTCCATTCCCAGGTACATACCAAATAGAAGTGTGAATTAACATGTACCAAAAGGCATGTATAATAAAGTCCATAGCAGCATATTTATAAAAGCCCAAATTGGAACAGCACAAATGTCTATCAGCCATAGAGTGGACAAACTGTCATATAGTCCTACAGTAGAATTCTATATAACAATGAAAACAAACAAATTACTGGTTCTGGCAACAACACAGATGAGACTCATAACCAATGCAATTGAAAGAAGGACGACACACAAGAATACATTCTGCACGCTTCAATTTATATAAAGCTCACAAAGAGGCAAAACTAAAACATGAGTTTAGAAGTCAAGGTAATGTTACTTTAGGAGGGTACAGAAGAGAGGCTTTTGGGGTGTTAATCGTGCACTACTACATCTGGGTAGTATTTACACGGATATGCTCATTTTACTAACTTATCAAGTTGTATACTTACTGTGTGTGCACTTTTCTTATGTATGTTTTATTCCAATAAAAAAAGTTTCTTTAATAAACTAAGTAAACTCCAATCTAAAAATCTGACTGTGAATACTTTCTCTGACCATATGAAAATAAATTATTTAAATATTTGTCAGGTGAAAAACCAAACAAAAATGTTTCCTAAATAGAAATCAAGCACTAAGAGTCATTATCAATATTTGTATTTTAGCTGAAAAGTGAGTGTTAAATTCGTCCCTTAAAATATAGTCACAGAAATAAGAATGTCTGGGTAGTTTTCCTCTCTACTACACGCCCCTCCCCCCATCAACACACACACACAATATTTTTTAGCTATTACTGAGGTAATATTTCAAACTGTGAATCTCATCAATAATCTAATATTAGAAGTTGTCAGATATCGACTCCTTGGGAGACAGCTGTTAAATGTTTGGATACCTACCATCCATATAACTATGCAGCGCAGTTAACATCGTCCCGTCTTGGGGCACGTAGGCAGAATACGCCATTTCTTCTAACATGGGCGGAGACAGCCTGGAGGGTGGGACAGATGTGACTGGGGCAGAGGAGGAGTGGTTGGGACTGACATGTTTCTTGTGGCGTGCTCTACAATTCTGAAACCACACCTGAGGGAGAAAAGCAATGTAGCTCTGTCACATCAGCTTCTGAGAACATCACAACTCGGTTTAGAAAGGGATGCCATCTCAGTGGCTCTCCCCTACAGGCACAGCATAAATCTAAATAAGTTTTAGAAAGTTCTGTAGACAGAAGAGAAACACCTTTGTGCAAATATCAATGGTCATTTTCTTTACTCAATAACTATTTGAAGATTTACTTAAAAGCCAATTCTATACTAAACTAAGTGCTTTCCAAAATAAAAAGAGGCATGGGACTCAAAGAATTCCAGACGAAGTTTCCTGGGTTTTACTCCTGGCATTTGGGACAAAAAGAAAAACAGAAAAAGCCTTTCAAATAGAACTTCAAAACAAAAACAAAACAAAACAAAAAAAACCCCACCATACAAAACCCAACAACAACACTACTAAATGTATTCTTAGACACCTGCTGGACTTATTTCAAATCTTTTTTCAAATGCCTAAAATCCCTACTGAGAACTTAAAGCTTTCTACAAACCCCTTGATTCAGTGATTCCAGGCACATTTTAACCTGCTGGCTTCAATTTCTCCTACTGAATACATAGGCTATCCCCTAAGAAGCATGTTAAGGTCAGGCTTACAATAAGAAAAAAACTAGTAATACTTAAGTAGAATAAAATACAAACAAATCCACTGGTGAAACAGTTCACAAAATGTAAAGAGCTAACCATCCTCTTGTCACTCTTTCCCAGAAATAAGGAAAGCAAATTCAGGGCAAGCAGGTCAGGTAAGTAAGATTAGATTGCCCCGAATGCTTCCAGCAATAAACTGCCTAAGACTGAACTCCCTGCCATTAGATAAAACTTGGACTACAGAGTGTTACTTTATTAAAATATCATAGCATTTATGTGCCATCACGCCAAAGATTCTGTCATGAGGAGAAAGAAAGTGTAAGGGGAAAAAAAATTAAGGAAACTAAGAAAAGAAAATTTAGGGTTTGGGACAAAGGCTGGGAAAAGGTCAGGGACATACATCTCTGTCCAGGGTTGACAAAAGGGAATCAGAGCTAAATAACACGGAAAAGAAGGAAGCTGGGAAAAGATTTATCTGAAAAAGTTGGCTTGCCCAGCTGCTGTGGCTCAGTGGTTAAGCATTGACGTATGAACCAGGAGGTCATGGTTTGATTCCCGGTCAGGCCATATGCCCAGGTTGTGGGCTCAATCCCCAATGGGGGACATGCCAGAGGCAGCTGATCAATGATTCTTTCTCATCACTGATGTTTCTATCTCTCTCTCCCTATCCCTTCCTCTCTAAAATAAAAATATTTTTTTTAAAAAGAATAGTGTCTATAAAAAAAAAAGAAGTTGGCTATTTCTACGACACACCCTGCCCTTGGGACTCAAAATAGAGGACTGGTAAAGTATAAACTCAAAGGTTTAATGCTAAAGAAATAAAAATGAATGACATAATGGGTTGTGCAGCCCTGAGCAGGTGGCTGAAAGGAGTACCCGAGGAATGTTTCAGGAACGAGACTTAGACATGTGTTGAAGAACAGGAGGGGGAAGTCACAGCCTTCTCCCCCATCTTCTGGAGTGTTAGACCCTTAGATACCAATACAGAGACCACATCTAAAGTCTCCACTCACAGTTCTCTCCACAGGCTCCGGAACAATGGGTGCCACTGCTGTCATCACCCCGCCACGAAGGTACACTCACACATTCTCCAACGTGTAAACGGGAACTGCTGCCACCTGCCTTTTCCAGGACAGCACCCAGAAGACATGCACCCAGAGGGCACATGTAACCTAATATACATGGCACTGTGGTTCCCTGAGTTTCTTCAAAGTATCTTACGTCTCTAATAGATTAAATATTGGATGGAACCTACTCAGCTGTTTAAAAAAAATACCAGACTTTGGAAATAGATACGAAGAAGGCATGACATAAAGAACAAAATAGCTACCTTAATGCTGAATCAAATAGCTCCTTGGAAAGATCATCAACAGGTAGTCAGCAGAGAGAAATTTGTAAACACAAAGTGTCATGTAATTTGCACAGCAAAATATAGCTGATGATACCAGACTTCAGAAAATAACTTCTGACGTGAGGGTTACCAGCTTCGGAATTCAAGTACAAGTTCTTCTGACACTCCTCACTGACTTAAAAGTTATTCCTTCTGTTTTGCAAACCTCTAACAAGAGTTACATTTTCTTCTGAGCTATTGTTTTAATAGTTTTTGAATTCTATATTGTAAACCACATAAGCTAGAAGTAGGTCATGTAGACACTCTGCAAAAGAAAAGACTAATGCATAAAACTAATCTCTTTGAAAGCTCAAAGAGTCAAACATAAAAATAATGCATGAAAAACATGGAATTTTAAATTATTTGGAAAGCATGGCATGATACTGATTTAAGAAAGCTGAGTAATCATTTAGGAGAAAAAAAAAACAGAAAAATCCCTTCCTCACAATGTAACCAAATCAATTCCAGATAAATTATAGGTGTAACTGAAACCATAATGCTTAAGGAAACAAAAGCCAATATTGATATATCTCTCAGTGGAGAAACATAAAAATGGCCAAAGCTATAAGAAAATAAATACTGAGAGGTTTGAATACATAAAAATATAAAAAATTCTATGTGGTGGAAAAATAAAAAGAAAATTGATGATTAGGTGGTAAGCACACAATACAATACATAGATGATATAGTGTAAAATTGTATACCTGAAATCTACATAATTTTATTAACCAATTTCACCCCAATAAATAAGGAAAATTGATGGATGAACTATGAAAGTTTAACATGATAAATAGAAATCAATAAAAGTAAGATGGGGCCGAACCGGTTTGGCTCAGTGGATAGAGCGTCGGCCTGTGGACTCAAGGGTCCCAGGTTCGATTCCGGTCGTAAGCACACAATACAATACATAGATGATATAGTGCAGAATTGTATACCTGAAATCTACATAATTTTATGTTTCTAACTTTCTGTCCCTCTTCCTTCTTCTCTGTAAAAAATCAATAAAATATATTAAAAAATAAATAAAATATAAAAGTAAGATGGGGAGAAAGGAAACAATCCAGTAGAAAAGTGGGATAAAATAACAACTTTATGTTAAAGTTCATTGATAATGGAAAAATTCAAATAAAGACAATGAGATTTTCTGACTATCAAATTGGAAAGGACATTAAAGAAGGATAGCAATAAGGATTCACATAGTTGGGGAAGAGCAACTTTCATAAGTAACTACTGACAGAATAAATTGGTATGTTTTTTCTGGAATTGATTTTTGTGCTATCAGTTAAAGGCCCTAAAAATGTTTTATCTTTTGACTCAATAAGCCCACTTCTATAAATGTATCCTATCAAAACTATTGAACAAGTGTGCAAAGTATGTATACAATATTGTTCATTGAAGCATTCAAATGATAATAAAAAATTGGAAGTAAACTAAATTATTCTATGCTCAATATGTGCAGCAATAAAATTGATGTAGTTCTTAGTATGAAAAGATATTCCCAGTAAACATACTGAAAGAAATAGAACAGTTTTACTATTTTTCTAAAGGTACACAACTCATAATTCACCTATCTGAAAGGGTATGTGAACAGTGAATATACTTAGATACAGAGTTCAAAATAAAATCATCCATCTTTATTCTATCATCTTAGTACAATGACAGTGTGGTCTGTTACTAATGTCTCTCTAAGTAGACTTTAGCTAGTAAAGGTGAGACTGTCTTTATGTATCAGAACACTGTTTCTATCTAATCTTTGCATACAACCTAATTTTCATATTAGAATCAAGGCCTAGTCATTAAAACTCTTTTCGTTAACTTTTCTAAAGTGTGTCCAGTGCTAGGAAGTAGGCTGGGCAAACAGATCATGATTACTGTTTGAGATCACAGTAATTAACTCTTCAAAAATACTGTGAAGGACTATATATTTAAATTATACACACACAGGTATATCCTATATAATAAAAGTGTAGTATGCAAATTGTCCCCTCGACTGGGAGTTCAACTAGGGGGTGGGGCTGGCAAGGGGAAGGGAGGGAGTACCCAGCCAGCCGCCGCCAGCTGCTAGGGACCCTACCAGTGCACAAATTTCGTGCACCGGGCCTCCAGTATACAAATATTATAGTGTGGGGCAAAAGTAGGTTTACAGTTGCGAATATAGGAAACAGTTTATTCTTGTATTATTACTTATTCATTATTGTATTATTTCCATAAGAACAATTGTTAACCTACTTTTGTAGACTCCATATGTATATATTTGTATGCTAGTACACCTTCCTTTGCTATCTTGGCAAAAATATTTAAATTCAATCCTCACATATCTTTTTCCTTTTTATTGAATTTATTGGGTGACACTAGTTAACAAAATTATACAGGTTTCAGATGTCCAATTCTCCAACATATCATCTATACAATGTATTGTGTGTTCACCACCCTGTCAAAAATGGTTCCATCACCATTTCCCCCCTTATACCCTTCCCTACACCCCACTCTCACCCTAATCCTCACATATTAAAAGCCATTATCCAACAATATATACTTGCTCATAATACCGATGACTGAAATACCTAAAAATTATATGAGAGATATCTGTCTGAGGTCTTTACTTCTTCAAATAATTAGAAAAAGGACTCAGAAAACCCTCCATTTTACTTTGCTTTCAACTTCAAAATAATAAAAAACATAGTAGTCATGAATCTGGCAGCTGCTGCAGAATATATAGCCTCGTAATAGACAGAAGCCCCAGCCAATTGTGTCTGAAGGACCTCGATGAAGGAAGCTTCCCTTCCAGCCACAGGAAATCACTTCCTTCAATGGTAGTCCATGCCATTTGGATAGATTCTCCTACTAAGAAAGCTCTACATCATGAGTGAAATCTACCTTTTCCTGCATTCCCTTGAAGAGACCTGCTTCTGCTTGCATTAATTTCTCAAACGTTTTGAACTTTGAATGTTATTTAAAATTATTTTCCATTCCCCTGATCTCTAAGAACTTGGCACAGTTGACCACCTCCATCTTGAACCCACCTCACTCCTTTGGCCTCCATAATGTTTCTACTCATTTATTCTGGCTGTTATGATGTTCCACTCAAACAGCACCTCTTGCCCTGCTCTCTCCCTAAAATCCATTCTTCACTTTTTACTGTCTATAATTCTTTCTAAAGGGTCTTTACCCAATCTCAGAGCATTAGATCTTTTTGCCTGAGTTCTGTTCATCCTCAAAAAATACCTGTTTACATGCCCAATGCCATCATCATTGCAGAAATAGCAGAGGGAAAAGGGAATTCATCTCCCTCCATATTACCAAACTAGCTTTCTTTTGACCTGAATATTCCTGTTAATAGCTCCATTCCCATGAATATTTTGACTTCAAATCTAAGAGTCACCTTTGACTTCTGCTTCCCCATTACAGTGTCTGGTCCTTTTCTTGTGTCTCCAGCATCCAGCACTTGCCATCAGTGGACAGTCAATAAAACGTTTCTTGATGAATTCTAGGCCACCTCACCCATTAATCTTCTTTTTTAAAAAATTACTCCTTTCCTGGACATCCCAATTAATCTGCTTATTTCTATCTAGCCTCTCCCAACCCTAATTCATCCCACGTGCTGTCAACAACCTTTCCTTCCTAAAATCACGTATCATGGCTTTCTCCTGAGAAGAAAAGAACTCTGCATTTACATACCTCTCCAAGATCAGCGCCACCAATTTCTTCTCCCCCAATTTGCAAACGTAAATCTTACATTCTGACAAATTTGGTCTAGCTCATCCTTCCCTAACTTTGTTCACATCACTCCCTCTACCTGGATCTTTAACAGAGGCCATCAACACCCTCTACACACATGCACACTCACTCACACACACGGTCTTAGAAAAGTAGAAAAAACACTGACCTTAGAACCAGATCTAGCTTGGAACCTCGGTTGTCTTTTTTAGCCTGAGGACCTTAGGGTTGCTGTGAGCAATGAATGAAGCAACTTGTACAAGGAGTCACTTAACAAATGATAGCCCAGCCCAAGCAGGCTAATTACCAAGTTTAAAAAAAAATGATTTAGAGTGTGAAGTGACCTGAAATGAGAAACTAATGCTTTGGCAAGTCTTCACAAAGCAATGCACACTCATAAAGACGTAGAATAGAAATTTCAGTATCTCTTGATTAATGTTCAAAACAATCACCTGTATCACCCGTCTGCTCAAGCCTGTCCTTTCTGCCAGTTTCTGGAGGGTCTGGGCATCTGGGTTGTTGTCCTGAGCAAACTGTGCCTGCATCACCTAAAAATATATAAGTCGTAAGCAGCTAAAAAGAACCAATCTTCTGCATTTTGATGATAGGAGAGAAGACATGCACAAGAAAATGGGGTACTTATATTTTATTACTTGAAAGTCAATATGGGGATGTATGTATAAATGAAAAGAGTGCACATTTTGTAAATTGACACATAAGTTGCTATGTTAAGATCTTTAAAAAATAATCAATTTCAACATGAAAACTTGTTTCTCAACTATGCTTTAAAAATAAGCTCACCTTTTTTTTCTTTCCATACTTTAACCCACAAGCATAAGCAGTGTTAAGTCTATTTACTTTTTTTCTGTTCTGTTAAAAAGTGTCAGCATTAGAGCCCTGGCCAGATGGCTTAGTTGGTTGGAGCATCATCCCATACACCAAAAAGGTTGTGGGTTCGGTTCTTTGTCAGGGCACATGGCTGGGTCGTGGGTTCAATCCCCGGTTGGGGCGTGTACAGGAGGCAACCAAATGATGTTTCTCTCTCTCTCTCTCTCTCTCTCTCAATCAATAAACGTATCCTCAGGTGAGGATTTAAAAAAAGTGTTAGCATTATAAAACTTTTAAAAATACAAAAATCATATACAATTATCTTCAACCTCTACTGAGCTAAAGAGGTTCAAGGCCCCTACTACAATTTTTATTAGTCTGCAAATAGTACACAGCACAACAAATGTATTCCACTTAATTGCAACCATTTCATCATTAATTGTTTTAAGCACTTGCTCTAAGCCAGTGGTTCTCAACCTTCTGGCCCTTTAAATACAGTTCCTCATGTGTGACCCAACCCTAAAATTATTTTCGTTGCTACTTTATAACTGTAATGTTGCTACTGTTATGAATCGTAATGTAAATATCTGATATGCAGGATGGTCTTAGGCAAACCCTGTGAAAGGGTCGTTCGACTGCCAAAGGGGTCGCGACCCACAGGTTGAGAACCGCTGCTCTAAGCAAAGACGTATCTGGAATCTTTAAAAGAGACACCCATCAGCACTGAATAAGAATTCCTCAGGATCTAAACATCTATACATTGAAAAAGTCCCCAGGTGATTCTGATGTGACTCTTTGGCTTGGAACCACTGTGCTAAGTGCTGTAAGATAGCAGAACATGAAAAAACTGCTCCTGATCTCAACTTTCCAGGGCAGAGATTCAGACATGCCCATAACTACCAACAACATAAGGTTGAGAGAGGTGTGGAAAGCATTTGAAATCTTGCTTCCTGGCATATGTTATCACAGTTTGACTCAAATAAAATCTTATGAAAGTTAAGAGAGAGAGAAAGAGATATAGAGAGAATGCTGTGGAAGGGGGGAGTACCAGAATAAAAGCATAAATTAAGAGCTTTCAGATATTGTTTCAGAAAAGATTAACCATGGGAATCAAATGGGACATTTTTATTTTATTAGTTAAAAGTCAATCAATCTAGGGAAGTATTATCCTATATAATAAAAGGCTCATATGCAAATCAACCGAACGGCGGAATGACTGGTTGCTATGATGCACACTGACCACCAGGGATCAGTCACTCAAGGCAGAAACTACTCCCTGGTGGTCAGTGCACTCCCACAGGGGGAGTGCCTCTCAGCCAGAAGCCTGGTTCATGGCTGGACTCCTACTTCTGCAAGAGTTGGACATCTTCTGAGGGCTCCCGGACTGCAAGAGGACACAGGCTGGGCTGAGGAGACACCCCCCCCCCCCCGCCACGCCGAGTGCATGAATTTCATGCACCAGGCCTTTAGTAAAATAGAAAGAATTATAACCTAGCCGGTGTGGCTCAGTGGTTGAATGTCAACCTATGAATCAGGAGGTCACAGTTGGATTCCTGGTAAGGGTGCATGCCTGGGTGGTGGGCTTGATCCCTAGTAGGGGTTGTGCAGGAGGCAGCCAATCAATGATTCTCTCTCAACATTGATGTTATATTAGAAAGAAGAGAGGGAGTCTGGCATGCAACATGATTGTGCATGTCCATGGGCATGGGATGAGGGTGGGTGACCAACCTAACTAAAGACGTTAAGCTCTGCTGGCCTGGACACCATTGCAGCAGGCCATATGAATTACATTCTCCACTATGACCCTCATATAATATTTACTCTTTTGCCAGTGCCCATCTCAAAGGATAGCTAAATAAGTCATTGGCAAGTTTAGTTTTCCCTAGCAGAAAGTGAGTTTTCTGAGGGCAAAGGGAATGTCTTATTATTCAAATTCCCCTTCCTCTCAATAGTGTTTGTGCTTGTGTTTGTGACAGAATGAACCTTGATTGTGGGAGGAAAATCTGAAGATAGGGTGGTTCACCAATGTTGTTGTTGGAAATCTTAAGAGGTCTACAAATTATATAATTTTTTTCCAGTTAATTTCTCTCTAATTAGTGACTCTTCGAGATAAAGGTATTCTGGCTTCCTGTCCAAGTCTGTCCACATATTCACTGTAAACAGTAGCTATGTTTTTGGTTTAAAAATGGATAGAATCAGACTAAAAGTTCATAATTTCACTCAGTTCACTTCATTCTTCCTTTTCTACTTCAAATGTGTTATTTCATATGCAAATACAGTGGTGTTTATAGGAGGCTGAGTGTGTAAATTTCAAAGAGAAAAAAGAATGAGCAAATTATCTTTGTGTTTTTTGTTTTTTTAATTTTGAAGGAGAAAAGCATTTGCTTTCAAAGCCACTATTGATAATTTATAGAACAAAAACAGCATGCTTTTCACAAATGCATTTCAAATTCACAAGTTTAATCATAGAACCAAATTACATTAAATAAAGCCATTTCTCATCAAGGAATAAAGCAAAACTTAAATCAACACTGATGGTTTAGGATTGGATTATGCTAAAGGAAAAGTAAGATGTACTTATCAGTGTTTAGCCTCAGAAAAACACACACACAACCCTTTGAATTTGAATTAGTTTTATTATTCTCCAGTCACTAATGATGCCCAAACCCACCCTACTTTTAACATGGTCAAGGAATAAGCCTGTAGAGGCACTCATCATTTTAAGGCCAGAAATTCTACCAGAAATGTCAGGATTCTGCAAAGTAGCAGCAGACCAACTGGATCTGAAAGTAGATTAAAGTAGGTGCTAACCTTGGCACGTTTAGCATTAATGATCATTGAGCAAGTGCATCTAATTACTACAGGCAAACCATAATAGTGGCTGAAACGTCTTAAATATTCCTACAAATAAAACAATATTTGAAATATTTTTTATTTTGTAAGTGTGAAATGACATTTTCTTCCCATAAGTTTCTAAAGAATGTTGGAAATTTTTCTTGTTTATTCCTCCCATTTTAATTCTACTCTGTTTAACTCTACTACTTCATGTATTATCTTGACCTACGGATTACCTATCATGCTTTGTTATTTTACTGAAAGGTGGGACAATTTGATAATGAGGTTACATCACCTGATTTATTAGAGGTTCTGACAGAATATAATAATTCAAGTTTTTTAAAAAAATCTATAGCTATTCCAGATTCCTAAATTATAAAGAACCACTTGAGGACAGGATGGAGCCTTATTTTTTTCAGTCATTCCTGGAATAGGTAAATACTAGTAGAGATTGAATAAATGAGAGCATGCTTTGAAAGCATATCATTTCTGCTTTCACTTTTCAAAACTGATGATTCTGATACAGATTTTTAAAAACATGGTTCACAGTACATTTTTAAAAATATCTTCACCTGAGGATGTTTATGGATTTTTATAAGGAGAGAGGTAGGGTGGGGGGAGAGAGAGAAAAACATTGATGTGAGAGAGAAACATTGATTGTTTGTCTCTTGATGTGCCCTGACCGGGAATCGAACCTGTAAACTTTTTGGTGTACGGGATGCCATTCCAACCAACCGAGCCACCACACATTTTCATATAATAATGCTTGATTAAATAGTTTGTGTACATTTGCAATTAAAACCATAAGGCCATCTACAAGATTTGGAATCACACTCTTCTGTTCTAGCTGCTGCTGCCACTAAATCGAGTTTTGTTAGGCACAGATTCATAGTCTCCTCGGAGGCCAAGCAAAATGAAAAGACCAGAGGTTTGGGGAGCGGGGTCCAAATCTCTTCTCTGCCATTCCCTTGGCAATCTGCCCTGAGGAAAGTTCCTGCACCTCTTGGATGAGGCTACCTACATCAAGGACTTGAAAGAATTAAGGGAGAAAATGCAGAGAAATGCCTGTCATAGGACTGGGAGCACAGAGTTCTCCACAAATATCATTCCCTTCTTATTTAATCAGTATTTATCTTCCTATATGAGATTACCTAAAGTGGTTTCAAATTTTCACAATTGTAATGTTAATAATAAATTGTATATGATATTAGAGTTATCAGTTTTATAATTAAAATGATAGCCAGCCCTTATGGGAATGGCTGACTTTAAAAACAGAATATATTTTTACTAGAGATTCCATTTTCTCACACACCTTTTAGCTACTGGGTATTCTGCTGCCAGGAAATATCACTCACAGGTACTCATGTCTCCTCAGTTAGGGCTTTTTGTGATCTACATTGCAATCCAATGAGGTGTCCAGTAAGGCAAGGTTCAAGCAGAGATATTTCTTTCATTTGTTTTATCTTCCATTTATTACTTATTGACCATGTATTCTATGCCTAAGTCAAGAAGTCCAAAACAATCTGAAAGTTTTTCAGAATGGCTTTAGATTTTAATGCCAGATTGCTTTCCAATATCATTAAGTTGCCTTGGAATATCTATGCCACAGCAAGGTTTCTTTGTTAATCATTCTCAAAATAAAAATTATCTTCTTGAAACACTTGTATTCATCTTAAATACTGGAAAGTCTTAAAATATTATATGTGACTTTTCAAAAAATTACCTTCACTTATTTGTTAACATTATATAAATACCCTTTAAAGTTTGAGCTAAGATGGATACAATGTATAAAACATCCAGCAATACATAGTAGGTGCTCAATAAATGCTACTTTACTTTAACATGAAATACCTCAGCCACATTAATCTTTTAGAAAACATAATTTTTTATCTTAAAAAATGCCAGGAAGAGTCATTATATGTGTAGACTTAAATATAAAGTAAGCAGTAATTATTTAATAGTTTTCTTGACAATTTTCATAAACCAAATCTATGACAATTATACTTAGGGCAACTAAGCTGAAAATAATCCCTCCCTTTTCAGGGGACATAATCATCCTACTCAGAAAATGTATAATCTTGTCCATTAAAAGACTCATTGCGGTTTGTTAAAAAGATGAACACATCCGTGTCCCATTGACTCACACACATATTGTATGACTCTTTCTGTTGAATCCCCAAATATTTTGTTTGCTATTGCAATTATATGTAGTAATGTAAATGCCTGGGTTAAACTGATTTTATCAGGAAGTCAGGACAGACTAACATTTTGCTTCCACTTTGATGTCAGTGCCAACAGATCCCAGAAAAACAAAGCTTGAATGAACATTGATAAATACTTTAGGGCCAAATGTATATTTCATGCATTCACCAAGTTTTTCCCACACAAAGCATAAGCTAACCTTTTTGAAAACATAAACATGATTTTAGACAGCATAAAGTTGTTTTTTGGAGGGTAGGGAGGGGCTTCAAAAATCATAAATTCATTGTCACGTCTACCTGGAGCTGATCTGCCGTAAAGCTGGTCCGAGCCCTTTTTGCTGGTTTTGGATGATTAACATCTTGCTCTGTGAGGAGGGCACCTTCCACACTAATCCCGTTGCCTACATTTAAAAAACACACCGCACATGTTGGTAACGCAGGTGGGTTCAGCAGTCATGCAATAAGAGGTTTCTTACGTCTATTGGCTTGGAGTAAAACTAAACGTCTAGATTGCCAAACCCCTTAAGTTTTGAAACACACTAGAAATAGACTGTTAAAACAGTAATCCATATGTAGGCTTGAACACTTAGTCACAAGGGCAAAACGTTAGCAGTACCCATCTAAAGCTCATCCTTAGGAAGGCAAAGACAGGGAAACGACTAGTTACAAAAAGCAAATCAGAATCTAAACTCAAGTCCTTAGACTGAGAATACGGCACAACGCTAATACACATGGCATGGCTTTCCCGGTAAATAAACAGATGGAGACCGCCATGAACAGTAAAGTGCTTAATGAGTTTTACCACAATTACACTGCACAAAATAATGCATTAAAGGGATCTGGAGGAAAAACTGTTTTTATTCCTGTATTCACTGCTCCAAAAGACTCAAAAGTATTTTAAGTATATATTTACCATTTTCCACTTCTCTTTTTAAATTATCCAGCATGCAGTCATAATGCACTCTGCACAGGACTTTCTCTTCCACCAAAGCAAACTCCTCTCCCGTGGAAAGTTGCCTTTTGCAAGAAAAGCAGGCAAAGCACGCCAAGTGATAGACATTGCCCTTGGCCCTCCGGACCCAGTCAGTAGAATGGATGTGCCTCCCACAGCGAGAGCAGCGAGTTCCATACCTTCTACATAAACAGAAGGGCGGGAGGTGAAGATTTTAATGCTCGGTGACATATTCATCAGTTTGAGATTAAACTAGTGCGTTACGTTACTCATTGGATTAAGCAAAGCATTTAAATCTTTTCAAAATAAAACAGGAATCGATTATTTTTCTAAGTCAGTATGGTAAGCAATCAAGATGAGATATGGTCATAATTCAAACCTATATGTAAAACAAAAACTTCTCATTATTACCTTAAAGGAAGATTGGATTTTTTCTTTTAAAATAAATGAAATATAAGTTTCAATATCTCTCTCGTAACAAATATCAGTGCATTTTAAGAGACCCAAGATACCACACACACACACACACACACACACACACTCCAGATTGAAACAAAAGCACACCATTGAAGATATAAATATTGATCTCTTAAAACCAAGTTGAGATAATTAGAAAATACTTTAAATACCATTTTTAAGTTAAAACATTGTAATATTTGAAATTGATACTATAAAAGAATGAGGGAAACAGAAATTGTTCACCCTGGGAAGAATGAAAGGAAGGAAAACTCAGAAAATACTTCCTTTGGTGAATAAACTATCACATTGCTAATCACGGGAAGATGGGAAATATAACCTAAAACTTCCAGAGACACATCTGAACATTAAATGCATATTAATCTTAACAAAATGCCAGATGTAAATATTTCTTTTTTCTCTTAGTCCAAGTGACTCTTTGCCACGTCTCCTTTCACAATCGTAGTCATGGCTTGGCATATCCATGTCCGAGATAAGTATATATGTCTGTTGTCTATTCATTAATATATCTTTGGAGGTATTGCCATTTTTAAAAAATTAACCTGAAAAACTGAATCCTAAAGACACATTTCAGAATATAAAATATGAAGCATAAAAACATCCCAAAGAACTAGACCTTCAGTAAGCCTCTGAAACCAAATCTTTCAAAAGACTTTAGATTACCATAAAACATTAAGATTAGCATATCCTAAGTGAAAGACCAGGCAAATTGCTACTATTTTTTTGAGGAAATGGAAAGCATACCTGATGAGAAATATAAATTTTTGGTAATTATAAAATTCTGTGCCTTTATAAAATAAAGGACTCTGGATTTTATGAAGTGCTTTCAATTACCTACCAAATTATTCAAATCAATTACTAAATTCTCTGAAATCAGTTTTTGAAATTGGGTATAAACAACATAATTTGTATTACAAACTTTATTATATAGTATTAACTTCCCAATTTCACAATGAACATTCTTCTTCATTTGGAAATGCAAATTTAAAAATATGGTAATTTTTTAAAGTCATGCTTAAGAATTTCTAGACATTTATCCATTAAGAACTGAGTTATATCCTGGAAGAAACTGTCCATTTAAATAATTACAAAGAAATGACACAGAGAAAATGTTACATTTAATAACCAGGCAAATATAATCTCACAAAATAAAGGTCAAAAAGCAGAAAAAAGAAACAGGATTTTTAGGCAGAATATTTAGATTTGGTACATTTCTGATACTGGAACAGTCAATTCTGATTAATTTGGTTTATCACAGTCTCAAAACTGCTGGCATTTTATAGGTGTATAACTAGGGGTCATCCTACAGTAAACGGGTAAAAGCTTAAACAAAACCTGGATTTGCATCCCATAATTATTTCATCTTACCACTCTCCCAAACCAGGGGCTTTCTCACGATAAGTCATCTTATATTTCATATTTTGTATCTATGCACAGCAAAGAAGTTCTTAATACCTAAAAATTTCATTTACCAAAGTGGGAATAATTATCTAAAAGTCATTTTTGTATACTGAAGTCCTAAAACATCTAAACATGCTTATTTATTTGTTGTAATACAAATGATACCTCAACGATATAAAGCATTCTCATTTTGAAATCTATTACATAAGAAAAACTGGGCTTCAATAAATAACACTGGACAAGAAAGTCTATTTATAAAATTCTCTTTGCATAATAATTTTTTAGAATATTTACTTTCTAAAAAAAAAATCACAGTGTACCTGAAATAATCAAGTTTGCAGAAAATGTCCTTGTCTTTAATATAACAACTGGTATGCCTTCCTAAGGAGGTTCTGCAGACACTGCAGGAGAGACACCGAACATGCCAGCACAGGTCATTCACCTGTGAAGGAAAAAGGGGCAGGATGAGAACTCATTCTAATACTTAAGAGGATAGTCATTGGTTTTGTGTATTAGGCAAAATTTAAAAAGCTGGTCCCTTCATGTTTTAATGCACACTCTGAATGTTTCCATTAAAAAGGTGTGATTTACACAAATATGTGTGTAGATATATTCCCTTACACCCAACCAGAAAATCACAATAACATATTCTACATTTTGTGTTAAAATGGTGTCTTTTTTTTTAATTCCTTTAAAGACTTCAGGTGTTTTTTTGGTTTTTGTTTTTTTAAATGGAACTTCTATGAACACAGGGAAAATTCCTGAACACTTTAAAGTCCTACTTACTGATTTATTTTTTCTTTTACCAAATTCTTCCACCATGAAACTTGTTAGCCAAAGAAACCAAACCACATACCTTCTCAATCTACTTTTTTGGCCAAATTATTATACAGTGTGCATTGGTTAAAATGAGAGAGGAAGACAGTGAACAAGAAGTTTCCTTAAGATAAATACTTACCCTTACAAAGAAGTCAGGGAATCCATTTTGCTTACAAAACAGAAATGCTAAGGTAGATTTAAATGTTGATATAGCAGAAGCCCTGGCTCCCATTTAACATTAAATAAGAGAGTCAAGGAGTAAAGTATTGCAAAGCCTACTTAATGATTTGACTACTGGAGAAAAAAATAAAGCTAATTATAAGTGGTTTTAAAAAGGCACCCAAGCATTGTTTGCCATTTATACTTCCAGAAATGAGGCATAAAATGGTGACTTAATAAATCACAGCCCTTTATATTTTCTAAGTAGGAAGGTGAAATATTATCATTTCAGGGAACAAATCGTAATTACCCCTCACCTTAAACTGTTGCCATCACTATATAAGCACAACTTTAACCTTGGAGAATAAACATGAGTATTGGATTGAACTTGCCTTAATGCAGTCTCCTAAAGTTTGCTCTTGTAAAATGGACACAATGATTAGGTTTATGCTTAATTAAGTTTAATGTAAAAGAACAGTAGTGATGCAAAAACAAAAGTTACACTCTACAAATGGATCTAATGCTTAAAATAGGAATTAGGTAATTTGGAAAAATATGAAATATACCCTTTGCTACACTATTTCATAATAAAGATGATCTGTCCAAATTCTATCAGATTAGCACTATTGTTCATGAAATATAAACGGTACTTTGAAGCTGAAAAAAAAAGTTTCACTGGCTTTTAATTAGTTATGTGTTTCTTTCCAAAGCATTAATGAGAGTATCATTTGGATAAAATTTTTAAAGTCTTAGGTTTTGTTATAAAAGATGTATATAGTCACTATACTGGAAAACAGCAAAGAAGCAATAAAAAATATTAACAATGGTGAATATTGCCCTGGAAATAAAGATATATTTCCCTCCTATTTTTTCCTAAAAGAGGCCCAATTAAAGATTAGAAGTATGGACTTCCTTTCATATTCCACTGTTTAGGGCCTTCTTCTGCATTTTTATCTTATCCAACCTTTTAAAAAAAACAAACAGAAAACAAAGGTAGATTCAGGCTTTAGGGCAGAGTTATGACAACCCTCCAATTCCCTAAAGCTAGACCCAGTGCCTGATTTTCCACTTTCCTCAAAGTTTACTTTAAAAAACAACAACAAAACAACCTCTTTCATCTTCCCTTTCCCCACCCCCGGAGGAAAGTAAGGTGAAGAGAGCCTTCCCTGAAGGCTGGTATTGATCCAATCTGTACATGTACTAGTATATGAATGTAAGACCAAGCCAGAAAACCACCCAAACAGGGCACTGAAGTATGAGATGGGGCAATAGGTGCATCTACTTCCTCTTGTACTTTTTTGTGCTAACTCCATTTTATTTGCCTCATGATATAGTGTTTTTCTATATTTAACAATTTACATCCTCAAATACTCTACTACATCCAATAGTAATTATTTTTTAACCAGTGATTTTAATTCAAATATGTCTGGATAAGGACTCAAAATGGGGGAAAAAAGAATTCAGGGTTTTTATATAATCATAAAGTATTAAACTTTTGTTAGAGCTAATATAGTAATATGTACAAGAAGGTAGAATAAGACTGTACATATAAGACTTCATTGGGAGGACTCCAGTCCTATTACAAAGGAAAGCTTAGGTAACTTAGATATTTCATGTAATGCAAATATATAATCATATATACACATATTTTAACATATATAAGATGAACACTAGAAACTATTTCAGAGGGTGTGTTAAGAGTCACTTTGTAATAGGTTTTTCTTGATCCTCTCTACTATGAAATGTTACAGCCTTTATAGATCCCTTTAGAAACATTCTTAAACATTATACTAATTATTGAGAGGGCTCATTGAAAATAAGCTCCTTTTTGATCCAAAAGATGCTTTTTTAAATATCCAAAAAGGCTCCATGTCTAGAAACATTGAAAGGGGGATCTTAAGAATGCAGGTTTAAAGAGAAAGCCATGTTAATTTTTCAGCTTTAAGAATTAACCACTGATACAAACAAACTCAAGTCACTTTTCAAAGAAGCACACAACTTCTTTTGGTGCTTTATGCGGGTTGTATCTATAGGGTATCATTTCCACTTTACAGATGAAGCAGTTCTGATTGAGGTAGAAATTTAAAGAACCCCACTAACTTGCTTTTTGAACTCAGACTCTTCATAATTAATATTATCTTTTGAAAAGCTGGGGGTGAGGGTTTGGTGGAGACAGAATAGAAAGTGAACTGGTTTGCTACTAATTCAGTGTAGGAGAGACCATTAGTTTAAATAGTGGTTTTAAAGAGCGATTGAAGTTGAAAACCCATAGCATTTCTTAAGACACGTGGGACCATGATCCTGCAGGCAATGACATGAGTAACCATGCCTGCCAGAATTTATACTCCAAAACTCCCCCACAGTATTTTCAGAGAAGTAAAACAAATTAAGACAGACAGTCTACTCTCAAACCGTTTGAAGCACTTCATCCCAGGCTTCTTTCTTTTTCTTCCTAACTTGGCATCCATTTCCATTTCCTCCCCTACACACTGAAGATAACATTTTTTTAAAGCATTGGGTGGCCTTTAAGTATTAAATCTTAATGACAGGAGTGAGGTACTGAAATGGTTTCAGGTAACAGTAAACAAACAGAAGACTATATGTTAAAAAAAAAAAATCTGTCCAGAAAAGAGCCTTTAGGGCAATTTACAATGGTTCTCACCAAAGTAGACACTGCAAAGTGGAATCAGCCAACATGTTCCGACCTAGAACTCTCAGAAGCAGGCCGGTGTGGGGATGTTCCCCGGGCGAGGGACCTAGGGAACCCGGGGCTCATTATAAACCGCCAGGCAGACCCTGTTTCAGAAAGGGTAGAAGGGTCTCTCCATTTCTGTTGGTTGGCGGCTGACTCCGGTACACACACTCGAGGTATCGAGGTGTCGGCACTTCTAGACAGAGACGGTCATTTGCAACAACTTGGGAGATTCTGAGACTTCTTCCCCAACTCTTTCCCACCGCGGGAGTGCCCTGGATTGGTCTGTTTTGCTTTGAAAGCCTACCACCTCAGGGGAGAATGCGAATGGAAAAGAGGGAACAAATAAACGTTTCCCTTTTCCCAGGGTTCCCAGGGTACCCGCTCCGGGGCCTGGCGGCTCCGCCCTACCTTGAGAAGGTACTTGTCCACGATCTCCAGGCCGCAGCTGTTGCACACACACTTGCCAGGGGGACAGACGGAGCCCGAGGCCATGGACCGGGGCGAGGACGACGGGGACAGCGGGGCCGAGGAGGAGCACGAGTCCTCGTCCCCCGCTCCCTCGGGGCTCACCTGCAGGAAGCCGCGAGGCGCGGTCGCAGGCGGGTTCTAGACCCCTCCTCTTCCTCCCCTCCTTATCCCACGGATCCCTGGGGCTCCCCCGCCGCCTCCCCCCTTCCAGACACGCCCCAGCCACCGGGTTTATGAATATATTCTGGAGAAGTCAAAGAGAAGGTCAACAGAGCCAGAGAGAGGCAAAGGAAGGAGATATTACGGTTATAGTATGAGTGGAGAGAATGCGTAAGTAGGAGTAGAAGACGAGAATATATAATATATAGAAAAAGAACAAGCTGAAAAGAAAGTAGAAAGATAATCAGATCAAGCTGAACTGGTGGTGCAGATGAGGGCAGTGTAGTAGGACAGGCGACGATTGAGAGACCGAGAAATAGAGTAGACGAGAAGCAAAAGGGCATTAAAAAAGATGAGGTAAATCAGCCGATAAACGGAGTGCGTCAATTGGCCAGCAAACAAGCGCAGGCAGATCGGAAAACGAGAATGATAAAACCTGAAACTTAAATTTGCCGAGTAAAGGCAGGAAAGACATCAAAAGAAACGAGTTGATTTAAACT